TCTCTCTCTCTCTCTCTCTCTTCTCGAAAGACGATGCGTCTGAATGATTGTCCCTCTCTTGAATGGGAATGAGTCGGCATTCTATGTGAAAGAACTTCTTTCGGAACTCTTCCATTAGTTTCCTGGGTAATCCTCCTACGCAAGGACCCTGTCTTCTTGTCTTGTGAACGGTGGATGCGTGTGTACTGAGTAATGCGATCCATCTTTTCCTGTGCATGTCTCATTTTCGCACCTTCCACAGTGAGTGCATGTATGAAATGTGTAACTCTTTTGTTGATTAGACGATTGTCATCGGGATTTTGTTCGAGAATGCAAGAGTGTTTATATCTGTAGCTCTGTCTGTACTGCACATGCCATCTGCCTTATGCTGCACGACATCAGCAGCCGAGCCACGAGGCGGCCTCGAAAAACAAGGCGCCAAGGACCAACGTTGTGTTGAACTGATCGGTCCCTTAGTGATCTACATGATCCGGCTGATCTGTGTTTGCTCTCTCTCTTGTGTCAAAAAGATTGATTGGGGGACGCGCGAATCGCTTTTGATGACGTCTCGGAATATTTTGTGATTGATTGACATGTGGACTTACAAGTACCCTCCGATTGGGCGCCAGCCTCCCGTATCTTCCATCCCAACGCGACCTTTTCCCTACAGTGAGGAAAGGACACGTGTATGTGAGTGGGACGTACGAGAAGCCGTTGCACAAATCGGCGGGCAGTATTACTTTCCTCCGGCCGATAGTTGTTCTGGGTTCGTAGAAGCCGCATTTGTTATTATCGATACTCACTTCCCACCTTACTCGGTGTTGTTGCAATTTAACGAGTTGATCGGCATTCCGTGGACGGCAGTAGAACCCCACTGGCCGCGCACTCTGTGCACCAAATGTCAGCGTTTTGAGCGCTACGAGTCCAGGGGTTTCCACTACCGTGTGCGGAGTGAAGACGAGCATAAAGAAAGAGACACGCGATTGAGACCCTCCACGTCAGACTCGGAACTAACCAGCGAACGACGACGAGATCTGATACGAAAACGAGACACGCGAAGCGTGCCAAAGCCTTTCCATTCTAAACGACCGGCCGTAGCCCAGTGGGAAGCCCGACAATACTTTTTGGATTGAATTTGGATCTTTCTGTTTTCGCGCCATGACCGCGCGCGCATTCAGCGACGCGCGAAATTAATCGACTTGCTACATCGGACCTACACGGGGGATTTCAGTTCCATCTGTGTCCCCACACTCAATTTCCAAAAATCCTTGGCACACCCCATCGTGCTGTTTTTCTGGGCCTCTTTTCTGCCTGCCTAACACTCCGAACGGAAGATAGCACAGGGCGTGAGGTTGGTATCGGAGCCAACACGTGTCGGTTCTAATGATAGTAAGTCGAACTGGCGAGAGGTAGGAGAGACCCTCAACTAACTCATCGGGATCGCCCAGTAACCCGGTCTCAGTCTAGTGTGGCTGCACCAGCAATACCAATGGTGGACGGTACTAGGGTGATCGTTAGCATCCCTGCCCCCTTCCCCTTCTTCCTCAACCATACTCATCCCGAGGCTTGGCAAGAAGCTGTCGAAGCTCAGAACTACAGCGCGGCCGATCTCCCCCGCGTTCTGACATTGCTACTCCACAACACGTCACATGACTGGTTTAGGAAACATATATGGGTAGATTGGGCTACTTTCAAGGCAGCCTTTTTGGCTCGATTCGATACAGTAAGTGAAGATGCCGCTTGGTACATACTCAAAAATCGACCCCAAGGACCAGGGGAGTTGTTGCCCGATTTCGTCGATCGGTTTCAAACCAAGTTGGACAAATCCGGGCGGGATGAGAAATCCGCTCGAGATTTGTTCATCGATCACCTACGAAGTCCGACAGTGAAAGGGAAATTGCAGAAAAATGTTCCATCGAAAACACACCAGTTATCGGCTATCATCACTTAAGCGTTGGAGCTAGACTTGGCTGATACAAAAAAATATATCAGCCAGGGAGACGAGGACATTACAGATACCATACGGGATGTAACGGCCAAAAGGCGATCATGGCTACAGGCGGTCGAACGGTTTTATCCCCGCCCCGACCATGACCTTCCCGGCGGGATCGTTTCCGATATCCCGACTGCTTCTCCTCCCTCTCCCTCGGTGAATCAAGCGATCGCAGCTGTTAGAAGCGGAACTTCATCTGAACCCCCCTCACCGACCGTAATCAATCTACACCTTGCCCAGATGATCCACACGGCTACTACTAAGCAGTCCGAATGGATGGGCAACCTGATCCAAATGCAGGCCGCTCATATGGAACGAATGGAACAAATAATGAGCAGGCTCATTAAGCCTAATCTAGCTCCTGCTCGGCCTGCCCCTGCATCATTTTCGCTCTTACCTTCCCCGCCTGCTCCAGGATTCGCCCCTCAGTATCCCCATCTAGCTAATTCGGCAGGAAAGATCGAGTGTTTCAACTGCAAACAGCCCGGGCATTTTGCCCGAGACTGTCCGCAGCCGAAACGTAATCAGCCTCCCCCTGCTGCGGCCCCTGTCGCCCTTAATCAAGGACGAGTGGTCGCTCTGATGGACACGGAGCAGGGAGGAGAGCTCGTAGCGTATGCTCCAGAACAACCTTCTTCTTCGGCAATAATAGCGTCGACCTAAGGAGCTTCTTCCTCTGATGCTGCTGACGTGGTCGATCCCCTCGAGTATCTTCATCTTGCCGGAATGATCGGAGCGATCCAATCGGCCCAAGATGATCTCGAGTGGGTCGATCACGAGTCCAATCGTGGACCACAGTTTCGGACTGGAGATATTGATGTATTGAAAACGCTCAAGCAATTAGATATTCGTGTACCTATCCCAGTAGGATATCTGCTCACCATATCTGAAGCAGCGAACGATAAACTTCTACAACATTGCGAGAAAAATCAAAAGCGCTTCACCTATCAGCGCATACAACGGATGTTGAAGAAGAAGGAAGGAAACAAGGAGATTGCACCTCCCGAGCCTGACACGAAAGAACCCGAAGCCGCACTAGTAGCAGCGATCTCTTTAGCAGAAAAGGATCACTTCGTACGAGCTCGGCCAGTACTATGAAAAAGTGCGGAATGTGACTGTGAAGTTTGGGGTAAACCGTTTAATGCCCTAATCGACACAGGGTCTTCTGCAGTGGCCATATCATTGGAGACTGTTAAAAAGACGGAACGACTTGGATCCATTCTTCCTCAATCTGGCAAAGACAACTATGTCTCTGTTGACGAGGAAGCAATGAACATTGTAGGCATTATCGAGAACGTGACGGTAAAGGTCGGGCGAGAACACGTCCTTGTTAACGCACTCGTAATAGATGTACGTTCCTACTCTATGTTGTTGGGATTACCTTGGGCAATGGTGGTGGGCGCACGTCTGCATTTCGATTCGAGACAACTGATACTCACACAAACCGGGGGGAAACCTCAAACTGTTCCTTTGCGAGTTTTCACCCGAACGATAAATCGGATCCCTAGCCCGGCCCAAATAGGGATGATTCGATGCATTGATCCCGAGGAGTGCTCCCCCTCACGCCTCGGGGATGGAATCAGGGAACGAGAATACGAAGAAGAGATGCCCAGTAAAGAGGAATGGAAGCATCTGGTTGAACTTTTCGAACATGAAACCCCCGAAGAATTTCGAGTGTGCCCCGACACCGCTCGAAGCTTCCACGTGGATTCTGAAGACAGTGCATTCACGCCTTTAACAACCCAGGTCAGTCCTTCAGTCCTCCTTGGGGAACCCATATTACAAGTTTCTGATCTGGCTGATGATTTGGAACCCCCTCGCACCTTGTACGAGGGAGCTCTTTCCTTACGAACACGTTATCAGCAAATGGAACAGTACTTAGACGTTTCTGTTTTTCCACCGTGATCGTTACTAACGAAAGGAGCCACCATCTCCTCGATTAAACAAGAAGCGGAAGCACCGGTAAATGATGTACCTAATCTAATGCAAGAAATGACGGATCTAACAGGGCTAACTGTGGAACCGACTTCGGTTGGTTCAGAGACTAACGCTGAAACTAAAGAAACGGAGATGATCCGCCCCGCTGAGTCCCAGATGATAGCAACTGTCTTTTCGGTTCGCACCAGTAGTTCCGTTTTTTCTAGTGTCCATGAGCGGCGGGAACGGTCGGTTGATTGGATCGATACACCCCTTAATATGTCGGGGGAATCGACAATCCCCCTCCCGAGTCACGTTCCCGCGGAACTTCGAAAGTCGTTAATCTTTGTATTAAATGGTTACGCAGAAGTGTTGAGCGTGCATGACAATGATACTGGGTTAACTAATGTAATTGAACATGCCATTCTCACGGGAGATCATCCGCCCATTAGCTGCGCTCCCTACCGATACTCGCCAGCTCAACGATCGGCCGCCTTTCAGCGGATTAAGGAGTTCGAAGCTAATGGATGGATCGAACCCGCTGTAGGACCATGGTCTTTTCCTGTAGTGATAGTACCCAAGAAGGCTGGGGGGATTCGCATTTGCATTGATTATCGAAAGCTGAATGATATCACGATTAAAGATGTGTACCCTCTCCCCCGGATTGATGAGTTATTGGATGCGATTGGGAGTGCTCGATTTTTCAGCAAGTTTGATGTTCGTCATGGGTTCCATCATCTTCTTGTCCGAAAAGAAGATCGTCCGAAAACCGCGTTTGTGTTTTTCGAAGGTACGTGGCAATGGATTCGATGCCCGATGGGTATTTGCAACGCCCCTGCGACTTTTCAGCGGGCCATGAACATGGCTTTTCATAATTTCGTGCGGAAGACTCGCTTGGCGCAGAGCATCATCAACTACTGCGTGATTGTGTACATGGATGACATCTTGGTGTATTCGAGCTCCTACAAGGAACACGTGCAGCACATCGAATGGGCAATACATGCGCTACGAGATGCAGGTTTCAAAGTGGCGCTTGAGAAGTGTCAGTTTTTCCTCACCACCATTTATTTCCTAGGGCACGTGGTGACAGACAAGGGACTCCAACCGGAGCCGCAGAAGGTGGCAGTTGTCAGGGATCGCGCCAGTGCCTACCTCTATCACGCAAGTTTGCGCCTTTCTGGGCCTAGCCTCGTATTACCGAAGATTTATCAAGGGCTTCGCGGCGATTGCGGGACCCCTCACAAATCTCCTGCGCAAGGATCAGCCGTTGATCTGGACAGCGGAGTGCGATCAAGCGTTTTCCAAACTCAAGGCTGCTCTCATTTCGGCTCAGGTCCTTATAAGACCGGATCCCGAAAAACCTTTTGTTCTCATCACCGACTCGCGGCCAGAGGCGATTTCGGCGATCCTTGCTCAGGTAGGACCGAGCGGACTCGAGAGTGTAGTGGAATATGGGTCCAAATCAGTGCCCGCCTGCAAACGCAATTACGCCGCTCCAAGGAGTGAATGCTATGCGACTCTCTGGGGAATCAGTCACTTCCGTGCTTACCTGTACGGGCGAAAATTCACCCTGGTGACTGATCATGAGCCCCTGTTGGCTCTGAAGAAGTCGAAGGATTACTCGGGCATGATCGGGCGATGGGCAACGGTGCTGCAGAGCATGGACTTTGACATTCGTCATCTAAAGCACGAGAGACACGGGAATGCGGACGGGCTGACACGACTGCACCGGCCTGAGAAGGTTCCAAAGGGTGAGGAGGTAATTCCGTGGAACGAACCCGAACAGGAAATCAGACCTCGGTACGGCCAAGTGGAGATCTTATCGAAGCAGTAAGTGACACGAGGACTAATTGTTCTATTCTGCTCTCCCTGCATCCCTTCCTCCTCTGCCACCATGACTACCCCACTTGCCTCCACAACCCCTTCTTCTCCTACTAATTCTGCCCCTCTTACTTCCTCAGCTTTCTTCAACACCCTCCCCGATAAATTCTGCTATTTTTGCACCTGTATTGCACGGGTCTACAGGGTCGACTGTCATCCCTTTGAGACCGGATTTGTCGATTGGGTGGAATGTGCCACGTGTGTCAATCGTGCGCACGGAGCCTGCGTTCGATATCGAACGAATAGCAAGGAATGGAGGTGCCCCCTGTGTAGAACGAACAAACTCCCCACGCAGGTTCGATTCGAGGCCGCCCGTACGGACGGTCCTGAATACGACAAAAAATACCGACAGGCGGAAGTCTGGACAGCTAAAAATTTATTGGCAAAATTAGCAGGATTCTCATTGGGCCACCTCACCAAACACGACAGACGTAGGGCGACCGAGAGATCTCGGGACTATAGATGGATCAACGGTCATTTGGAACAGCGTAAAACTGACGGATCGGGTTCGTGGCTTACAGTTCCCCATCCCTTCCAGAGATACGATTGGATCCGATCTGCTCACGAGGAACAGGCCGCTCATTTCGCGATACGTGTCACGGAGGCAACTGTAGACCAGAATCGATGGTTATGGTCCAATATACGAGATGATGTCAAATACATTGTTGCTAACTGTCTTATCTGTGCCGCTGATCGCGCCCCTATACGGGGACCAAACACGATCGTGCCGACGGAAGTAGAGCGTCATTTCCAGCGAGTCAGTATTGACACGACAGATATTGACGTACCACCTGGCCCAAACCGCTGTGAATATTCCATCCTGTTAGTGTTAATTGACAATTTTTCCAAATACATCGAAGTCTATCCTTGTAAGACCCGAAAGGCCGCCGAAATAGCCACATACATCGAACGATTTCTCTATACCCATCTAGATACGGTAGAAATTCTAACTGACAATGAGTCGGAATTCAAAGGTGAGGTAGAGGAACTGCTTCAGGGCGCTCAAGGGTTCCTATCACAATGGCTCCAACCCATGGGTCTGCACTTTGTGCCTGATCAAATTCGCATAGTCACTACGGGAGAAGGATTCCATTTCTTAGCACATGACGTTCTCCACCTTGGCAAAGGCTCGAAGAGCAGACGCTTCGCGTCTGAATCCCACGGGCTCGTCAGCAGAGTTGCTCCGTCCAAGAAATCACAGGAAACACTTCTTTCGCAAACTCGTTTTGTAATACAATCTCACAAAGGTTCCGCTGTACACCGACTCATCAGTGCTTTGGTTCCGTTGATTTCAAGTTGGGGAAATACGGCACCCCACGTATCCCAGTCGAACGGGTTGGCCGAGAATGCCAACCGTATGATTAAAACCGCCCTTCGCAGGAACTTAGCGGCACACGACACGCGTCCTTGGCCCGAGATCGCATATCAGATCGTTGGCCACCCCTCATGAGTCTACGGGGTTCACCCCCTTTCAGCTTCGAACTAATAGCCTCCCCTGTGTCGATTACCGGGGTAACTTGGAAATTGCCGAAGCAGGGGGTAGAGACACGCGTGTGGCCCTCAAGGCCAAGGCCAAAAGGTACACCGATTTGATGGAACGAGCCGTTCCGAAGCTAGCCCGAAAAGACAAAGGATGACCGAGCTGGCCCACGGTAGACAGGTYCGTAGCTACGAAGCCCGGAACGGAAATGCTGGGCCCCAGTACCAGTATAAATTGGGGGACCTAGTGCAGGTACGTAAATGTGCACGCGATCGGAAACTCGCTCCCAAGTTCTCTGGTTGTTTTCGCGTTGTCGAACTCGGGCCCAACGGCGCCAACACAGTGCGCATCGCGCCTGAGGCTAGCGCTAGCCATAGCTCCGTCCCCATCGTCAGACATACCTCCTACCTCCGTCTCCTTCCTCCTTCCGATTTTCCTCCCTCTTCTTCCTCGGAAAGCGAGGAAAACGACGATGATCTAACCCTCTCTCCTCTTTCTCCCTCTTGTCCCTCGTCCTCCTCTCCGACCTCGCCATGAGTTTCATCACGGAGCGGGTTCTCGACGCACAGCTGCAGCAGCCACGTGGCCACATCTCAGAGATCCGGCAAGTTTGTCACCCTTGGCTCAATACGGATCTCCGCCGTTTGATGCGATTCTTCTGCGACGAAGGTATCTGTGCTGCCGCCGCGTTTCAGATAGAAGGAAGCCCTCACGCGATAGTGTTTGTGGAGGTTACTGCAGTTCATCGGCGAGCGGGTCCCAAAACGAGCCACATCACCACACCGGCGGCATTCACCGGCGACATTAGCTTGGTCAATCCGCTGCAGCATACCGCGATCTTGGCCTCGTTGCGCGAGTGGACGGAGCAAGTGTCCAACGTGTGGCAACACGTCCTCGCCCGGGAGGGGTATAACATSATCCCGATCTTTGCATCGGACATTGACAGCATTCGCCGATCATCGCGCGAGCGGCCAGTTGCGATCCCAACCCTCGTTCCCTTCCCCCATCCCCAATGAACCACGCCAATTTTCTCGCCCCTCTCTCTATCTTTGCTCTCCCCTCTCTCTTCCCCACCTTCTAGCAATCCGATCTCCACCCTTCTCTCTCCTTCTCGTTCGAACCTCTTTCGGTCCCTCTTATCCATCCTGGACATTGGCGGCTGTGGCGCGAGACTTTTGAGGAGTTTTCCTTCTGCCTGACCCGAGTACAAGTGAAGTGGACGGGCACTATCGAGCACCCCACGTGGATCAAGAATCCGGAGCTGTTGATCATACAGGGTTGGAGGACTAACACGGAAGGAGATCTTATTGGATTCCTCTTTGGATCGGTACGACCGGGTTGCCGTCAGTTGATTGCACAGGAGCTCATCGCACCGATCGTGCAATTGGCGGACGATCTCTCGCCCGACATCTACTTTCAGAGCGACAACAATCCTGCTCCGTACATTTTCCAGCGATCCTTAGATCCGTACCTTCAGTGGACTTCGTGCTTGGAGGAACCTAGGGACGAGGATACGCTACCATCGCGGCAGGAGTATCTGAAGCCGTACGAGATCATCCTTTACGCCTTCTACCCGAGGGCAGAAGAAGTGGTGATTGACGACAACGACGACGAAGAAGAAAACGACGACGAGGAGACATCGGAGGAGGGAAGCTATAGTGAACATAGCGAGGGCGAGCTCAGTGAAGAGGAAGAAAAAGGAACCGGGTCCGAGTGGGAAGCCCCGCCGGAGGAAGCGACGAGTATGGGAATGGAGGCAGAAGATCCGGAAGCGGCGCGAAAGCGCGAAGAGATTGCCTCCGGAAAGCGCCAGCTGAGGTTCGCTAGCGAGGCTAGCCTGCGCATCGGTAGCAATCCGACCAGGGATCCAGAGCCGCCGAGGCCCGAAGATGGCGACCCTGCAGCCGCCACCTCAAGTACCGCTCGACGGAGACGGCGCCGATCCCCCTCCTCCTCCACCCCCACCCGTCCCCCAGTTCGCCCACGTACCAATGCGGGCGATAGGCCTTCGACCTCGGACGCTGCCCCACCGACCCCTTGATTTTCTCACCCTCGAGCAGATCCGTACCCCCGTCACCTTCCCTTCCCATCCTTTCCATCCCCATCTCTTCCGCGACTTCTACTCTACCCGTCTACTCGCCACTGTCCACACCCACACCTCCCTTCAGTCCGCCGCTCCCACGTTCTGCTGGCATCTCCTGCTGTTCAGCGCTGCATGGGAGCAATGCAACGTGGTAGAAGTTTACTGCATCGCCACGGGGACGATCCCCGCTTGCCGCCACTTCGAGATCTTTCGAGCGGCGCTTTTCCTTACCCTCTCCTCTTTCTATCGCGATTACCTCGCCTCCCTCCCCCGCAGTGGCGATCATTTCCCCCGCTTCCATCGAATCATCCGATATGAGGAGCTCCCGGTGACGATGGAAGGGATGAATCGCTTCCT